AGTTTTATCTCCTTCAAATCATGTTAAATATATATATATATATATATATATATATATATAAGTCTCCTTTCACTACTGTGAACTATCTAAAAAATAACAATGCTAATTTTAAAACAGGATTGTCTTAATCATAGCAGAAACCAAACGGCTGGGAACTCTCTTCAGCTGAACAAAAACCAAGACTGAGATCATCATTTTTTGCCCCCATGATGAACCAATCAAGTTTTTATGATGTATATAAATTAGTGTAAAACAATAGTTGCCCACAACAAACACAGCAGCATGGTTTACAACAGGGCTACTTGTCCTGTAGGGTATCTGGACCATTCATAGTAAATGTGGTAAAACATTAGAATCCAGTAGAACTGACAGAGCGAGGGTTAGAAATGTTTTGTTTACCTGCTCTTGCCGGGCTGCTGTGCAAGCAGTTTGGGGAGACGACACTAGTGTTTACGGAGGTGGAGGCGTGGTTGCTTAGGTCCATCACTGATGGCGCCGGCGTGGACGGGGCTGGGGGCATGATCGGCGGCTGGCGCGCCGGAACGCGTGGTTGGTGCTGGTCATGGTGGTGGTGGTGGTGGTGGTGGTGGTGCTGCGAGGGGCTGGAGGGGATGCCGTTCTCAGACAGGAACTCTTCCAGGTCCATGTACTCCAGCTGGAAGGTGTCCCCATCGTAGGGCAAGGTCTTGTCCCAAAGCGTGGGGCCCAGGAAGGCTGACTGGGGGGTGTTGTGCTCCTCCTCCAGGTTCTTCTCCTTCTCCTGCTCCTTGGTGAAAGCTGACAGGAGGACGCAGGGAAGAGCTGAGTCAGTACAAACCCAAAAACACAACTACAACTACTGGGAGAATTTATCAGCGTTATCAATACACAATTAAATGTGCCAATAGATGGGTAATATGTCCATAGAAGCCCATAAACATTTACTCAATAGGTCTGTCAGGACTCAAGGGTACACAGGCTGTCTTCAATGAGTAAATACTCATCTCCAAACCTTTGCTTGTACATTTCAGCTCTTTGACCTGAGATGACTCTGTGACCTGAAGGGATTTAAGAACTACCTCAGGGAGTTTTGTACCTTGAACAACAAAAGTGTACAAAAATATTTCAATGTTTCAGGTGAGACTGATTGAGCTATTTGTAAGTTTTCTTTGCTGCCAAACGTTTTTTTGCCAGAAGCAGGTGGTGGCGATTGTCGCTTGCCAAGAGCTCCAGTCATCATTGCATTAACAAAACAAGAGGTTATAATACGTCCTACGAAGCAGCTACATCTTCAGGGCAGACTGGAGGCTATAGTGACTCGCTATCAGAAAGTGACCAAACAGGCCAGTGTTAGCTGGTTAGCATGCTAACTAGAAGAAAAGAGATAGAAATAGGAGCAAAACAAGAGTTAACATTGTCATTGCTTTCAACCTTTGGAGACAGCTGTTAATGAGGAAAGGTATAAAGTTTAATGCTGAACTTGCAACATTTCTTCTAGACTGGTAAGTAAACAGCTGTTAATGCTAACGTTAGCTATGTAGCAAAAGCAAAATCACATATAGCACCTTTAAAAGGAAACGATGGTCGTCTTCTAAGACAAACAAACAGGAGGCATTATGGGTATAAAGGGGTAGATAGTGGAAACCATTTAAAGAGAAACTCAACATGTAGTTATAAAGGATTGTTTCCCAATATCCTTTAACTCACAGGATGAAAACTGCTGACCAAGCTAATCTTGATGTTTTTTTACCAGCCTCAGGCTGCGTAGACCAAGTCCTTTCAACATGTCAACAATGTCTCAGACAAACAAGCAAACATGTGACCTCAGCCTCATTAGTACCTGTTTAACTTAAAGAAACTGCAATAACAAGATGAACCTTTTTCGTGGTTCCATGAGCAGTGACGAGTGTCCTTGACCAAAACTCTGGACCTCTATCAGCTCCAGCTGACCTCTGACCTTTTCACGGACAGATGGATCTCTCACAAAGGAATCAATATGGTTCACAACATGTAGTATTATTGATTAGGAGTGTTTTCATGACACCTGAAAGTCTTTGCAGATAGATTTCTGATTACATGTTGGACACCTCATTACCAATCATCAGGGATTCCTAACTGGATGTTTATATTTTCTTGGATTTCCAAGTTGTGCCGAAATCCTCAGATTTCAGAGGAAAACAAAGAAAACAAGTGAGTATGTGATTGACATCATGAATATTCTTCTTGTTCTGGAGATTATTTGGAAGCTGACAGACGGTTTATTTCTTCAACTGAAATCTTGTACCTGTAGGAAAAAAGACTAGTCTGATGAACGTATCACATGAAAATTTTACGAGAAAATAATGTTTATTTTATTTTTTTTTGGACACTTTCACTCCTTCCTGTGTCTGAAATCCTTAAAAGTTAGACTACAGGAAAGAAAAATCCTCAAGTCAAACTGATCACAGCTCATTTCCAAAACCTTAAGTCACATTACATTTCATTTTATGGCCTCACAAGCCAGAAAGGCTGAAACCACTGCTACAGAGGGTCATGTAATCCTCCAGCTGATTTCTAAACATGATAACAAGAGGATTTCTTGACTCCTGGACTAAAAAGACTTTCAGGTTATAAATCCTGGCTACAACCCTGATGGATGATGTTCCGCTTGACCAGGTCTGTGGACACCAAGGTCACATCCTCATATTTCTGTCTTCTTTAATGAAGAGAAGAGCAGTTTACACTCATGTTAAAATTTACTGTTAAATGTTGGGTTTTAAATGAACAGAATCCACATCTGAAACTAATGTGATAATTGATAATCATTTAAAGCACTTTCAAGCAAAAACACACAAAAAAACATTATAAAATGTGAATATCTTACTTTTCCTTGTCTTATGTGAGAATATATTTAATATCATCGGATTTTGGACTTTTGGTGGGATAACACAAATCATCTGAAGACGATATGGTGAAGATTATGGAGGTTTTTCACTATTTTATGACATTTTTGAGACAGGATAATTCATTGATTTTTCAGATGAATTGATGAGGAAAAGAAGTGTTAGTTGCAGCCAAACAAGAATTTGAGCATAATTTTACAGAGTTTGGTTGGTGCTCAGCCAAACTGGGAGGGAAGGGTTTTGCTGAAGGGGGGGGGTTTGCACTTATGACCTGAGGATTAAAATCCTGTCAGCAGCTCTGATGTGTCTGTTTGACAAACACATTCAACTAACTATATCTTCAATGATTATGATTATGACGACTGCTGGAAATAAGCAGGCTGTTCATTTGTCCAACATTCCCGCCGCTCATGTGACATTTAGAGGCAGGAAACTCATATTCCTGGTTTGTGTGAAGTCCATGCTTTGTGTGAGGAGTGTGCCTGAATCTCAGACTCAGTTCACAGATTCACACTGACACCGCTGCATAACCTGAAGCCTGCGAACCTGTTAAAGGTGCATGGAAACACACTAACAGACTACATCAGGAGCAGCTGCTGCAGCTCTCATTCAGACCCTCAGAGGTAAACACGGACATTGAACTATCACACTGAGATACTTCACCTTCATGATGCAGCGGCAGCTTCATCGGGTTCTCCAGCAGAGACTTGAGCACTCCGTGCGTCGCCGGAGGCAGGAAACTTGGATTTAGCGGGATGGGATGTCGATGGGACATTTTCTCCAAAACGCCTCCTTTTAGGATTTAGGATCCGGAAACAGCGCAAAAACAACAAAATAAAGCACAAATATGTGTGTAAAAAAGAAAAAAAAAAAAAAAAAAAGAGAGAGAAAAGTCTGAATCAGTCCTCAGCTCTGGAGCCTACATGAAAATAAGTGAAATAAAATTAAAAGCCCTCACAGTGAGAAAAACGGGTGTTGGAATAAAAATAGAGGATCGGCTCTGGATGTGCTGCGGCGGCTGACCGGGCTGCAGGAGGCGGACAAACCGATCACCGATCCCATGTGTGAGAACGGAGGACTGCTGACGTCAAACCGCGAGCCAGGCACCCGCCCCTTTACCTCCACACCCCTCCCTCCCCCTCCTTCTCTCTATCAGTGGCCTCTTCCTCCTTTTCTATGTGAAACTCTTAATATATGATTTAAATATTATCACTATTATGAGAGTATTCTTATTATTAATTGTTATACACTATATCACACTAATTATCATAACACACTCAGGTGTCAGTTTATTAGGAACATCATGCTGCTGTTGAGCTGTGCTGTATTACACAGAGGTGTTTTTGCGATTTAATCACAGGATTCTCATTATTAACTGCCACATATACAGTGTACACTTTTAACACTTGGTTTATTTGAATGATTTTGCATGTTGGACTTTACACGATAATCAGACATTAGTCTGTCCACAAACAAGGCTGATTTAATGAAGTGGATCAGCTTCAGTAAGCAGAGCTGCTAATTATTAGAACACACTCAGGTCTCACTTTATTAGGAACACCATGCTGCTGTTGAGCTGTGCTGTATTACACAGAGGTGTTTCTGTGATTTAATCAAACCTTACTGATGTAAATGCGGTGGACAAAATAATAGAGACACCTGTCAGTGCAACACAACACAACAGAATCAAAGTTTCTGAACATTACAACCTTCATGAAGGAGGTTTTACTGTTGGATCAGCTGGATGTTCCTAATAAACTGAGAATTTAGAAATACTCGGCTCATGAGTTCACGTTCTCCATCAAAAATCAATAAATAAGAATAAAATAAGAATAAAAGGATAATTTTAATATTTTGTTCATCTGTTCAAGTGTGTAATTAGATAAGATTTATAAATACATCTCAACAAATTAAAAGTTTAAATCTTGTTTAAAAGCCTCTCACACCAGGAGCACACGTCTAGAGAGTTATTTATTTTGTTTTGTCCTTAAAAAAATTGGAGGTAATGTAAATTTCTGTTCTGACTGTATGTGATAACAAACTGAACCTTGTGTATGTCTGCTCTCCACATTCATTTACAGCCATACCTCTCCTTTATAACAACTAGAGCTATTCGTCACTGCAGTGTGTGTTTCAAAAGCTTAATTCATTTAAAATTCTCCCTTTCTACAACATCTGTACACGTCAACCGTGGTGTGGTTCATGTTTAGGAAAGATTAGTGAATAAATTAGTTTATGTATGGCCGGGGTTTGGCAACTAAAACTCCTGGTTAAATTACAGTTAATAAAAAGTTGTGAGAGGACAATTAATCCTGTGTGCATGAAGAGATGGAGAAATTCTTGAGCTAATTTTAAACTGTAAAAGAGGCAACAACAATAATCATTATAAATCATTTATGATGATTTTCTAACTTTTTAATGTCAGAATATGAGAGTTTGTTGAACTTTAACCTCAGTTTGAAGCATCCATTCATGATTTTATATGTATTCTAACATTTTAACAGCACACACACAAACACACACAAACACACACACACACACACCAAGCACACACACACACACACACACACACACACACACACACACACACACACACGCACACACACACACACACACACACAGGAATGCTGGGTCACATGAGTAGGCTGGCTTGACCTACTTTTGTCCAATGAGAAGCCTCTGCCTCCACCTCTCCTCCCCCTCCTCACCCCTCCTGCAGCATGGTCACATTGAACCTCATGTGCTCCAGACCAAGAGAAAAACAAATCCAGCAAGGGAGGAGAGGAGAGGAGGACACAAGAGGAGAAGAGGAGAGGAAGAAATAAGACAGGAGAGGAGGACACAAGAGGAGACAAGGAAAGGAGAGAAGAGGAGAGGAGGAGACAAGAAAGGAAAGGAAAGGAAAGGAAAGGAGAAAATAGAGAGGAATGGACATGAAAGGAAACAAGAAAGGAGAAAGGGAAATAGGAAAGGAGTGGAAAGGAAGGGAAAGGAAATGAGGAAACAATAGAGGAATCATACAACATTGTAATATTCTTTTAATGTGAACACAGGGAGTCAAAGTGGGTCTGCAGGACTCCTTACATGTGACACAGTGACACGTATAAATTCCTCCTAGGAGAAATATTAGAAAGTTATAAAAATATTATAGAGAAATTACACATATATAATCTGCATTTTATTTAAAAACAGTTGAAGATCATAGAAATACAGTAGATGAAAAAATGCCACAAAGAACAACAGAAAAAAGATAAAAACACTACAAAGGATCATTAAAAAGTCTCAGGATCCTCATTATTAACTGCCACATATACAGTGTACACTAATACACCTGTAACACTTGGTTTATTTTAATGATGCATACTGGACTTTACACAATAATTAGACATTTGTCCATCCACAAACAAGGCTGATTTGATGAAGTGGATCAGCTTCAGTCAGCAGAGCCACTCAACACGCTGCAGTCTGTGACACTGGGTGGAAGAAAAAGAGTCCTTGGCAGCTTTAACAAATCCCTATCAGCCTCACTCTCATTAAAACTTCCTTAGCAACAGCGGTTACTAAAGCAGAGTGATGTTGTGACGACCTTTGTGTGAGAGAAAAGTAGGACAAGGCTTAGACACGCCTGCTCCACTGCTTCAGAGCAGGGACTGGGCCAAACACGGCCATGACTCATCCCTTTAACGCACTCCGTCAACAGCTGAACCACGTTAGCTGAAGAACTGCTAAATATCTGTCCTAATGATTTCACCTGTATACAGCTGTATGAAAGCTGTACCTACAGAGAATTATCATGCAGCTCTACAGATGCATTGTAGCTTTTGTTTTTATTTCATTTGACTTTATTTGTTTTATTTCCTTTTTTTATATTCTATATTTATTTCTTCCTGTCACTGTCATCTGCACCATTTCCTGTTAAAAGCTAAACTAGCTAGCAAAAACAGAGTCAAATATGTTTCTGCCTTCGAGAGCTAGCTTAGTTCTCCCAGAGCTAAAGGGAGAATGAATATTTGACATATAGCATTCATCACGTAATCATATTTCTCTGTTGAAGATGTAAATAAACCATTGTTTGCTAACATGCTCATCAAATCAATTTTATAAGGTGATATGTCAATTTTCTGCTGCCCCCAAATAGATTTTTACATCAAAGTTAGAAACACACATTGCTTAAAACTAACCAAAATAATATTCATCACACACATTTGTTAGAAATGAGAATTTAAAAACTTACCGCTAGTAAAATAAAAGTTAATGTGAATTTTGTCCTTTGGGTGGCGCCAGAGTAAAGGTTTTAAGATTAAAAAGGATTTTCCTCTGATATCATCTTTGTCTGTGCTATATCTTGTGATAAGCTAAGTGCTGAGCCGAAGACACACTGGTGCCACGATGAGTCGTATGACGTGTACAAAGTGCCACCACTGACACCAAGCAACACGCTGCAGCATACCAACAGGACCATGACCACACACAGAGCGCGACAATGTCCAGACATTGACTTAAAATCATGTTTGGACACCCACTACTTAAACTTTTTTTTCTAACCTGGAGAGCTATGGCGATATGTCTTCTACCATTGTCCTTGTAATAATGTGATTGCGGGTCATATAGCTCGTTATGTTTCTCAACCTCAACATATAGTCTTGCATCAAAGCGACAGAAAACAGTGAGGAGAGGGAAGTCGGGAACCAGGAAGTACAAAACAGCCCAATATTCTGGAAAAAAATTTGTTTCGAATGTGGTGTGAAGTCTCGAACACCTTGCCGCCACCACCAGAGATGTCATAGTCCCCTATTCAATAATTGTTGATATACAGTATATCTGTTTGGATTTAGTCTGGAAGTGTTGATGACATCACTATCCTCAGAACCTAAAAACACAGTCAACACCTAACTGGTTTATTTTATTGTTAGTTGACAAAAATGCAAATTTGTGTTTGTTATGAATGAACGATTGGTTTTCTGGTTGTTGTATCAATCATTTGTTCATCATCTATGACACAAAGAACCTGCCGTGAAACTTCCAGGAGCGTATACTGGATTTTGCTCCACTCTAATTCATGCTGAGGAGGTAATTTGGCGAGTCGATACCAAAGGACTACAACTACACAGAAGCCCTTGTTTTGTGGGTCAGTTTTTTCTAGCACAGTGTAAACAGTGACATGTAATCCCGGTGTAAGCATCGTGCCTACAATGGTCTTTTACCATTACACTGTTGAAATTATGATTTACATAACCAAAGCTGGCCAGAATGAGCTCAGTCAGAGCGTTGACCTCCTGGTACCTCTTAAGACCTACCGTGGCCGAGCCAAGACTTATATTCAGTTGTACAAAACAAGGCAATTAATAAGAACTTAAATAAAAGCGATGTAGCCGGAGTCATTTTGGGTTTTTCTGTTAAACTCACCATCAGTGACGTTGTTAAGCAGGCCAATAACCGACTAACTGTGATCTGTTTGGGTTGAGCTTTCTAATCCAGTCCTGGCAGAGTCGTTGATGCAGTCTGTGACCTTTGAATTCTCCAGGTTGAATGAAGGAAAAGAGGCTTTGCAGGTTGTGTAACTTCTCTGCTGATTTGGTCGTAAACTGTTCAGACACGAGTGAGAGCAGGGCCGCACGTACATGAACTGATGATCTAATACCTGCAGTGAAGCCTCCAATCATCTATAAATACACTGCCTTCCCACCATCATTTCACCATCAAGACAATGATAATGATCCTTTATCCAAACAATATGAAGGTGATGAGTCATAATGATAATGATGTCAGGTCAAACTGCCTGTAACAACTTATAATTGTCAGTCAATAACGCTTCTCCGTTGTTTATCA